TTTTTCTGTTGCCTTTTTGCAATTCATGATTAATAAAAATAATAACATTTTACTTACAAATTAAAATCAGAAGAAATTTAACAAAGTTATAAATTGTGGCACCGCGAACGTCTAGTCTGGTATAATACACCGATAGTGCTACTTGTTCATAGATGGCGCGTATAATTGAATTAAGTCGTATACCGAACAAAAGTCGTATACCGAGCAAAATTTGTTTCGTCCAAACAGGACGTATTCCGAATTGGACGTATTCTAAAGCAGACGTATACCGAGGTTCCACTGTATCTCTATTTAAAAAAGTATATTTAAGTTTAAAAAAACACCAAGACACTAGCTTGAGGTAAAAAACGCCATCTGCTATAAGGTGTTATTAAAAAATAAATTTCATATTATTAACAATTATAAATAGGAAAAAAGAGATTAATTTTCAGAGTAGAGAGAGTATTTTAAAATATTGCAAATGTAATAACAAGTAAAATTTTCATCTTATTCCACTTGAGATATGACAAGAAACATCTCTCTATCTCCCCACCTCACGACCTTTAACTACTAAAATATAATGGCATCAGTGCCCCATATATATAATTTACCACGCTAAATTTCGTTTTTTAATCTTTACCCCATCCTGAGATATAAAACGAAAAAGACACCAAAAAACATCCACGGAATTGTTCCTCCGTTTTTGACTTTTTTAGCATCATAGAGTCTGAAAACATCAAATTTGTAAATACAGTAATAAAAAAAAACTCAGAGGGTGAAATTTGACAGGATTACAATATTTTCCCGTGTTATGTTATAACCGGAAGGAAAGTATATCGTTAAAAATTTGTAAGAAAATTGTAAATTCTAGATACCTTTTCATGGATACGCACTTAATAAATAAGGAAGTTCAATATAATTAACTCTGTTATATTAGATTTAATAGATTCTTTACGCCCTCTAAATGCCAATTCTCGCTTCGATAACATCTACTAATTAAAATATAATATATCTATTAGCCGTAACTATCTCGTTATAATTTTCAATATTTATTTTATATTGTGTACTAATGTTAAATTCTATTCTATTTTGATTTCCAAATTGCTTCAATTTTACGAAAGATTCGATGCGAGATTTAGGATTTTCGTGTCTTTTGCCAGCTTTACTCAAATTATTTAAATCGTCAAAGCCAATCTCATTCTACACACTAATTTTATTTGAAAATAGTAGGCAAGGCCAACAAAACAAATTTTGCATTTTTATGCATCCACAAAGCCATTTTATATCTTCATAAATTTTATCATGAAAATGTCGAACAAATTTTTTCTTTTTCATTATATGGTCTCGAGCCAAAACTTTTTGAAATAAATTTTCGATATCACAATTACATTCTAAATTGCTAGCTATAATATAAGGGCTAAAATTAAAAATAAAATTATAAAAACTTACTTGTTAAAATAAAATGTGTGATGATATACAATTATACATACCTGGTACAAAATATTCAATTGTATGAATATACTTTTAAAGAAAATTATAAATATAGTTTTGTGAAGAAACGTACATAAAAATAACATAAAATAGTCTTTACTTTTTAAATATTAAAACAATCCACCTAGTTAAAATTGCTCCCTACCAGTGGCTCGTGGATGGAATCAGAGACGGTCTTGGTAGGTGTGCGGTGCGGTGCATGCTTGCCAAATCCCGAGGGTGCCGATACCGGTTAATGTCTCTTTTGTCTCATCACTAGTATATCTCAAAGGACGCGACAGGGTTGTTGTAAATTTTAAACGTTTCTCATCATAGCTGTAAAAATCTAAATTTGTTAAACTTAAAAGTCATTTGTTTTCTAACTACTGTAATTCGTTTTAAGACCAGGTGTCCACGGAAATTTCCAAAATTTACAACTTTTACTCACTTTCATTGAACTGGAAAAATTTCTGTCTTTATTACATCTAATATTACGAAGAAATCAGTCCCACTGTACTCGGCTAGATATTGGTCCGGTTAGGCTTTTGTTTAAGTAAAATTCCGGCTCTTTCATCAGGGTTTTGTTTACGTCCCCAATTCCCTAATCGCTTAATTATTTAACTACTTCTTAAGTAGAAATAAGTCGAAACCAGTTACTTTGTACTCGAATATTTGTAGTCTCGGGAAAAAAGTGGAAAGACAAATTTTTACGACAACGGATACATAAATCGTAAATTTAAGGAAAATAAATTCTAGAGCCTTTTCTGTACCTCGTGCATCTCTCTCATTCATTAAATTTAGTTGTAAATGATGCTGTCGAAGTAACGGTTAATTTTTTAACATTATACAAGAATTGTACACGTTTTTTTCTACATCCCCTTAAAGATGGGATATACGAAATCGTAATATCACTGGTTTAACATTGAAATCCGTGAGTAATATAAAATCGGAGAGCGGAATAAAAATATCAAATATTTTAATGGATTTTTTAAACTTCCGTCAACTATACAGAACTATCGTAAAAACATACCAGTAAATTCTTATCGGTTGGGTTAAGTTATAAATCTACTCGTTATTCACGTAATCGGCCAAATATCTAGCGGGCGGGCGGCTAACAGCCCGGAACCGGTCCCGGATAGAATTGGAAGCGTTGGAATGTGTAGCGTCAACTCAAGGTCGTAGGCTTCCACCGGCTAAACCGGGTGAGATTGGTGCTCTGTAAAGCGCGTGCGCAAATCTGGCTTTTTGTATGCTGACAATACAGCGCTTCAATTCTGCCACTGATATTCGAATATACAATAGCAATCTTATTTTTTATTTTTTTCACGTGTAGTATAGAAATTTGTAATAAGATACGTAATGCGGTTATAATAATATATTGTGCGATTATTTTCATATAATTAAAATTAATATGTATTTATTTTTTAGAAAATACAAGGGAAGCGGCGCTTTCACCGCTTCTAATGACGGCACGCCACTGTAATTAAGGCTTTGATTTAATTTACTTTACAAAGTACAATAAACCCTTATTCATCTAAAGCCCATCCCCTCAAAAGCCAGAGCAACACCGGGCGTACGCAGCTAGTGACATCAAATTTAACATTCTGAATTCAGAAGATACAATTGAAATTTCAAAAAAAATACAGCAATGTCCGTCATACTGAATGAAAAAAACACTACAACAATATCCTTCAAAAACGCACTTCAAACATTGATTATTATTTTTGTAACTTTTTCCGCCCTGTGGGCAACTAAGAGGACCTCTTTTAGCAAGCCCATAATCGGGAGGCCTGATGAGAGATAGGGCCCGACATATCCGGACGGACCACTCCCCGAAAAATTCCTGGGATGTTTCGACCCGTCCAGAATGCCGGATGCCACTTTGACCGCTCGGCCATCCGGCCGTCTTTTCAAATATTCTAAAAATTTCTAGATATATCAATACCTTATTATAGATAATTTTAATTGATATTAAGATTAATATTAGTATCAAAAAATTGCTCGAGTTTAAGTTAACTCAGGATGGGCTTTAGGAGTGATTGGGGTGTGGGGACCCACAGTATTTTTTCTAGGATATCGAAAAATATACCAAATTTGATGCGGATACGTTAAACGGTATAGCCCTCTTTACCTAGCGTACGTGCTGTACATATTTTGACATATACAGTATATATAGATAGATAGATATACTGTACTGTACTGTACCCAGGATATTTCATTGTTTTTCTTCAGGCATGTACTGTACCTACATTTTGTATTACATTCATTTGTGTTCCAATAAACGGAGCAGGGTGCTGGATGCTCACAAATCTCTTCTTCACACTTTCCTATCATACTTACCCCATCTTCCCCTCCTCCCTCTCTTATCCTCTTCTTACTTCTCTTCTAAGGCTAAGCCTCTGGTACGGCCTTCTTAACTTTTACAATAACAATAATAATAATATATAGATAGATGTACTGTACTGTACCCAGGATATTTATGTATTTGATTAGGTTATCGCCGTCGCATAATAAATTGATTTTAATTAATTAAAAATTTATCACTAAATTGATAAAGAAATTATATATTTTTTATAACATTTACATTAAAGAAAACCATACAGTATTTAAAACTGCAATTCTTACGTTTACGACACAAGCGACCTCTCGTAGAAAATTTAGAAAACTGGAACGTCGATTTCCTGTATTTGTAAACAAGGGATGAGCTGCGCTTTCTTTTGAAGTTCGAGAGGAAGTCCGATTTTTTTCGTTTTTTTAGTTGGTTTGCTAAAAATTAAAATGAATGGTGAGAGAAGAAGCGAAGATAACCAGGTTCGTTTGCAAAAATTACTTTTGAAATTATATCATAAACTTTTTTTTTAAAAATGTATGAGATTAAGTCGTATAATGCGTTGTTTTGCAAGGTTTAAAAATGTCAATTTATATTTCTATATTTTATAAAATGTGGTTTTGACTTGTTAAATAATTGCAAACAACAATGGCGATTTATCAATAAAATAAATAATTTTGAACTTGCACATTACTCAATAATGCTAATTAATCAAGTTGATTTGATGGTATTTAAACATTTCTGTTTACAATATTTAAATATGTACATTCTACATAAGTAGATACCTGCATAATAGGTATGCAGGAAAGAATTTTGAGCAAAAAAGGTGAATGTATTATTTTTCTTTTGAAAAAATATAAGGACGAAAGAAATATAAGAAATGATTTTTTAAAGAAGTAAATTAATATATATATATATTCAAGACTTGGAATTTTTTATAGTTTTGACAGTTGGTATAAATGACAAAAAATTCTGTAATAAACTACGTCAGTCTGTGCTGTATTGCTAAATTTATAAGAGGTTTAAGAATGTAGATTGCACTGTTTCTGTGAAAGTCTGTTGTAACTTGAATTTAAAAAGTAATGTATATAATGGATATTAAATTCTCATTCTAAATATTTTGTATTATGATGATTACTGGTGTTGCATTTGTTGTACTAGGATTTAATCCTTAACCAGTCATGCTGTATCTGTTACATTTACACACATTATGCAGTCTCACAGACTGCTTATCAATTTATTAGAAAATTATATATATATATATATATATATATATAAATGCATTATAAAAACATACACACTGAAGTGTGCCAACTAGGTGATGAGTCTTGGTATCGTCATACAAAGTAATATCTAAAAAAAACAGTCTACAATAGCATAAAAGTTGGAGACATCACTGTTTTGTATAAAATTTTATTTTAGTTTTTATGAAGTTATGAAGATAGCATGCATGCTAACTGTTTATCTTTTGGGTGAACAGTTTATTTTCCTTCCTCTGCTCACCCTGTAGCTTTCCCTTTGGAAATGTTCACCCTTATGTTCACTTAATGGAAATTATTAGAAACACTCAAAAGTGATTTAATAATTTCCATGACTATACTTTCTTTTAATATTTCTTGATTTTAAATGAGAACTACTTTTTATCATATTAAAAACTACATTATTGTCCAGTTGGGTAATGTAAACAGATATTTTAACATCTTAACAAGATTTTACTGTTGTCCCATATGAGACAACAGTAAACCCAGTTAAGATGTTTTCCCGCATAAGTTGTTCAAATTCTGCAGTCTCGTCATTTCTCCCGTAAGACACATGTTAAACATTTTCACTTAAGATTGACAAGCATAAAAATAATAAAACAATATTTAAAGGTATGATATTAGAATAGCATTCTAATTGATATTAGAATGGCATTCTTTACATAAATTGTAAAGACCAACTTATGACCAAATCAATTTACAACCTGTTCCTTGGAACAAAGCATGCTCATAAGTCAATGACTACTTATATATGAAATGGTAATTATGGCAATAGTCTGTAACGTTTTATGTTGAATACTTTAAAATAAGTACAGTAGACTACCGAGATTGAGTAAACTTTATTGTAATAGCAATAGTAACAAAGAGCCATGTAACTAAAGTAGTCTCTAGCATGAGATCTAACACACGATGCCAGTAAACAAAGGAAATCTTCCACGTGCAGTAGACCAGGCTCAGTGCCATCTATCAGTGGTCAGACCACATGTCTAATAGTCCTTGGCATGGATTCTATTAACATTTGATAAACATTCTGATTGATTTCATTCTTCGACAAGATTTTTCCTTTCTATTAGATGTATTGATAGATATTATTTAATGGCAAATTTAGGCAATTGTAGAGATCATAGCAAATGATATGCACTGGTATGCTCTCTGAAATACTACATCATTACCCCTGTATATATTAATATGCTACTGTATTCAGGACATTTTTTGTAATTCTCTAAATATGTTTTCTTCATCAGGATATATTATAAGTAAAATTTACAATAATGATCAGATATATTCTAAAGGGGATAGGACCCTCACTTCTGTAACCTGTTACCGGTGCGTTACATGTAAAAAATACAATGGGTAACAAATGTTTTCGAACTATCACAAAGTTCTTCTTCGGGTCAAATAGGTTTGGAATGCTTCAGAATGGAATGTAAAGATTTAAAATGAAAGGACCATTCTCAGTCTCAGTGATGATGGGTAATGTGCCAAACCAAGAAGACATTATCCACATGCAGATACCATTATCTTTTCTCTGCATCTCATTTGGATAGATGCATTTGAATACAAGGCTTCATGAAGTTTCTTCAAATACTCATATCCAACAATTGGTGGTAAATGATATGAAACATGATTCATCAGTTTTACCTGTATTTTACTGCTCGATAGACTAGTTTTGTCATGAAAAGGTGGTCAAGCAGAAACGACCAATCAAAGGAGCAGAGGCAATTGGAGAGCAAAGGTTATTTGACCACTGGGCAATTGGGAATAGAGATGTGTATACTATTTTGTGGAGAAAAGTCATGTATTTATTGTCACATTGTCACAATGCTGGGATATGATTTTTAATCATACTTTTAATTTATTTAATTTTAAATATATGCTCTCCACCTCAAATTAATAGTGGCTTGCCCTTGTACATCATACTTTTCCTTTAGCAATAGTCGTGCTGGTCATCTATCTAACATCTTTCAGAGAAATATTTTTGAATTGAAATAATATGACTTCTGGTTTGTATTGGAAGTTCTTATTATAGTTAATTGGGGCCTCCTGAGGTTTTCATAAGGTTTTCATATCTGGTGTCATCTTTCATCTATCTAACTCTGTTCTCAAGATTAAACAAAGACAGACAGAAGACAGTGCGAATTTATAAGTCTAATAATAATAATTTGAATAGTGAAGTGACCTGAACTAATACCTATAGTAGGATTAGTGATAATTTTAGAGTTGAAGGGGTAAACTAAATTTAGAAAGGTATTTTGTCTGTATTGGAATTTAACCTGTTAATTGCAATTGAAGAAATAATATATAGTGGAACCTCGCTTAACAAGCATAATTCATTCCAGAATCTTACTCGTTAAGCGAAACAAGTTTTTCCATATAAATTAATGTAAAATACAATAATGTGTTCTACTGCAAAAAAAAAAATAATCAAATATTTTATGTATAACATTTATTCAAAGAAAATTATATAATATACATTGTTAAGGAGCATGAACATCCTTCATCTTTTCTTCTAGCATGGAATGAACCAACCTGGAATGCGAATTCAATTTGCAGAAAACACAAAAATCACTGATAATATGGTCTGATAAACACACCAAATGATATGCCAAATTCTTGGGCTATGTAAATGCTATAATTAAATATTAGAAATTAATTAATTTAACAAATGGTAGGCAGTTATGCTGTCATCTTGTATTAAATTTAATGACCAATTCCAAATTAAATTCCAGAAATGTTTAAATTAAAAATTAATTATTTATAATTATTTTTATATGAGATGGCAGCACAACTGCCTACCTAGTCAAATTAATTAATTTCTAATATTTAATTAAAGCTTTTACATAGGCCAAGAATTTGGCATATTGTTTGACATGTTTATTATATAACAGGCTATAGTTGTTGATGTTTATATGCAATATGTTGTTGGTTCAAAAAAAAAAAAAAAAGGTTCCTGATTGTCCAGCTTTACATGAACAAATTATGTTGTTGATTTTACAAGATTTTTCCTTAAAGTTTAAAGTGATGCTAAGGTGCTAGTGTAATGAGTGCTAAACATAAACTGATGGAGTTTGCACACAATCCAGGACTTCTCCTCTCCTAGTCACTCATTAAGCAAGGTTCCACTGTATATTGTTCAGAAAGAAATATTTGGGGCTGTCTAGGTGGAAGTATGAGGGAGGACAGTGAGAGCCACAAATTGTTTTTAGGTTAAAATTGCCACAGATAACAATATACAGTCGACCCCCCTATAATTACGGTCCCTATAGTTACGATTCCTATAAAACTACGAAAAAATTGCTACCGGTATCCGTAAAAAATAGTAAAAGTTCCCTATAAACACCTCAAACGTCATCGGGAAGCCGAACTACTTTCCCGCCGTCCGTAGCGCCACGCTACGGAGAGATTTCTATCGTCTGGACAGTATTATATAAATTATATATAAATTAGGTACTGTACATATAATTATATATTAATTATATATAAATTAGGTACTGTATATATAATTATATATTAACTTATTGTAACTTTGTTATAATTAAATATATAATTTCCGCCGTCTAGCGTGGCGCCACGCTACGGAGATTTTTACGCTAACTATCGTCTGTCAGTATGTAAATTAGGTACCGTAAGTCTAATACAGTACTGTAATTTTATACATTTCTTGTGAAAGAAACATTTCTTATTCAACGGCGATTAAAATTATTTATATTAATGATGTCTCCGAAGTTCTACGAAGTTTTCACAGAAAAATAAGTTGTTAGAAATCGGCCGCTCTTTGCTGAGCTGTTCCGCGACGAAAACAATGTTGAGCAATGGCAATGTCGAATGGTGACACTCGGTAAGTAATCCTACAATTTTTTGTTTATAGCGTAGTTTATACGGATTATTCCCAAAAAATATATACGTATTTTGGAAATGTTGAGTCGGATTAGTCTAGAATCGATTAATTTTATGGAAGAAAATCTTTCAAACAGCCGTAGTCCGTAAACTTGACACGTGTCGGGTTGTGATTGGAAGGATTCGTAAGAAAGCGGATTCCTAGAGAATGGAACGTATCTCTATCTTATAGGGGGGTCGACTGTAAAAATCTTTTGGGGGACAAAGGGACAGAAGAAACTGTTCAAGGCACATGAATATATTGATACAGTTATGGTGAGGAGTATAAACAGTTATGACAATACACCAAAATTTATTTCTTTTAATAGCAAGAATGGCATCTTGAT